TGAAACATTTTTTTCCTGCTTTGTTTTACGTACATTCTTAAGAAAGCTGATGTTTATTGGGGGTTTTGCTAAAGACAGAAGTAGTCACTGAAGTTAAAATGGCAGCCTGTGGCAGCTGAGGTCACACAGTGAGGATTCTTTGCATGGTTACCCATGTTGTACATGGAATAATTAACTTTGTTGTCACATTTGGGCACTTCTCATAGCCACACAATTCTCAGACAAATTCTGTGAAATATATATGTTTGGAAGTCAGTTTGAAAGAAGGTGGTGACTAGAATGTTTTATGTTGCTGCATTCATGGAAGCACTGCATAGGGAGCTTTGGCAAACCCGCATTTTGTGCATCATTCCTGCTCTTTTAATCTGTTTGGTCAGAAATGGATTTGAAAGGTCGTGAGCGTTCATGGGTAACAAGGCAGTGTACCAGCTGTCTCCAGGCACAGTGAAAAGCGTGGTCTTTTATAAATTTATTTAATATTACTAAAGTTTAATCTTTTGTTAAAAGTGCCTGATGTTTGCTAAATCAAGATATATAAAGCATCTGAAATTATTTTTGATGTCCTTGCAATTTTCAAGTTTTTAGCTTTACCTTCTGAAACTACGTTCTTTCTGTGGACATATTTGCATTGTTTCAGCTAAAAGTACAATTGTTTGTAACATGCAAACTGGACATGAGACACTGCTTTACAGTAGTTACTAATCTGCTGATGAATGATTCTTGTAGAGATTGAAAGGGATTTGTGTAGGCTGAAGGAATATAATGAGTTTCAAAAATGTTAGCAATTTAAAATACTGCTTGGATGTGAATTAAAATGTTCAGAAGTCACACGGTTACTTGAAATCTTGATCCTTTTTAGCCATCCAAAATGCCATCATTGGGTTTTTTTCCCCAGGGCATGTTTGTCCTCCCTAAAATTGCTTTAAATCAGGTTTTTGAGAGACAGCTGTCATCCCGAGTGTCTTACTATGTGAATAGGCTCTGCCATGCTGTAGGTTAGTGCCTCAGCAACTTCATAAGGGTGGTAGGTCTTCTGATATATCTTCTGATCTCACAGGTAACAGCAGTAGTCATCTCTGCCTCTTTCTTCTGTCTTTAGTACTGTTTAATGCTCTGTCTGTTTTCTGTGGTATTCACAGGTTCATGTGATGACTTCTACCTTTTGGGTCAAAATAACCCTTTTTAGCAGAGACCAGCTGCTTTGCATTTTAAGCTTGCCTGCTGTTCTTTGGGAGTGAAAAGCAGGAGGACTGGTTTGGCCAACTGATGAATAATCATGCATTTACCTACTCAGCTGTTTTTGAGAGAAACTTGAGGCTCTGACTTTGGGGGATATAGTGTAACTGGTCAGGTTTATTCTCAGGTGATTACAGTTCACATTGCAAAAATTTCTTTTGTACTTTGTCTGAATACTGTGATGATTGGTATATAATGTTATAGGTGTACCATTATCCATTTTGTTGAATATTGTCTTGCAGAGGAAGAGCAAAGACAGGTGGAACTGAGTGAAAGAATAGGTCTTATTCAAGAGCAGGGTTTACATCTGTTTTTATTGTGTGATATTTCAACTCCGGAGTCTTTCCATCATAGAGCCAAAGAATACCCAAATATTTTACAATAACCTAAAAAATTGTTCCTCAGGCACTGGTAAAATGGTTGTTATATGATGAGAAACTTCATAGTATTGGATAAGCTTGAAATCTCCCTTTCCTTGCTTATAGTATTGGTACTTCAAAGGACCGTATAGCTGTCTCTTTGCTGTGTCTGCAGTGTCATGGGCATCCACTGAAAAAGTCAACAAATGGATCAACTTGTTATTTGTCAAGGTATTTCTGTATGATCTTAGTGTCTGCCTTTTTTGTGTTTGTGAGGTCAGTTCATTGTCCACAGGCAACAGTGAGTCTGGCCTGCTATTACTGTTTTGAGATCAGGGTGGCTCTATAACTGCAAAGAAAAGAGGGTTCATATCAGCTGTGTGCAGTTGTGTGCCACGCTGTGAAAAAGGTCACTTGGTTTGTTAAGCCTGGAGAAGAGGAGGCTGAGGGAAGACCTTGAGTGGTCTGTAGCTTCCTCATGAGGGGAAGCAGAGGGGCAGAAACTGATCTCTGTGGTGACCAGTGACAGGACTAGAGGGAATGGCCTGGAGCTGAGTCAGGGGAGGTTTAGGTTGGATATCAAGAAAGGCCCTTACGCAGAGAGTGTTTGGGGACTGAACAGGCTCTCCAGGAAAGTCATCGCTGCACCAAGCCTGACAGAGTTCAAAACGTGTTTGGACAATGCTCACAAGCACAGGGTGTGGTTATTGGGGCTGTTCTGTGCAGTGCTAGGAGTTGGGCATGATGACCCTTGTGGGTCCCTTTCATCTTAGCAAAACCTATGATTTTTAAAAAAAAAATTACCTCTTAACAACTAAGTAACATCTCTGTAGTCTTATTTTCCCTTATTCCTCTTTGCATTCATGAATCTTTATTAAAAAAAAAAAATACCATACATATTAATATCTTCTGTGTTACTGCTTTCAGCACATCATAGTGAATAAATATTATTTCATCAGCCCACTTGGCAATAATGACCATTAACCTGATTGTTGGCTGATGGGTCTCAGATGGAATGCTGAATGCATGCTTGTTTCAAAATGGCAGAATCTGCCTCTCCTTTTTACTGTAATAAAGCTGCTTCTGTTTGCAGCACTGTGTTGCCGGGAAACTGCAGCTAATTTTTATGGCGCATGTCAGTAGTAGTGATTCAAATTATACATTTCATTGAGTAGCTCTTCTTTTTGTTTGCAAACTGCCTTCTGTAAGGGGAGAGAAATTTTGTTCTGGGGAGAACAGTATCCAGACCAGAGAATATGACTCAATCTGAAACAAAAGCTCAGACTATTGATAACATCATTGTACTTCCAAAATCACTTTGGGGGGGATGGTGGCCTGGCTAAATTTACACTAGTCTGATAGTCAGGTCTAACACAGGTATTCAGGAGAGTTCCAGGTGAGACAAACACATCTCCTCAAACTGCTGTTTTTCTTTTTCAGACTCCATGGTGCAAAACTTCAGCGTGTGGCGCGACTTTAAAGCAAAACAACAAAATAGACTGAGAGATTATGAATTGGAAAACTGTGTCGTTTTGGTTCACAACACAGATAACGGTGGCAATTCTTGGGCTGTGTAGAAAATGCAGTCCTTTTTAAAATGATTGTTGCACAGCTTGCATGTGGATCAGGACATGCATGCAATTACATTGGTAAAAAGTGGGTGTAATTGGGCATGCACCTAAATGGGAAAATACATGTGTAAGGTGGAATCTGAATAATAAGTAAAAAATATTCTGCTTGCTGAATCTGTACTCCTTATCTGGCTAAAGGAGATGGTAGTCCATTTTGTGCTGTTCACGGTCTGCTTAGGTTTGTAGCAGTGTCTTGTTTTTAATCTTGCTTGAGATGCCTCTCTAAAATGGGGTGTGTGTGTGTGTCTGAAGCCTGCTTGCTTAAACACGCGAGTCATGTCAGCTGCAATGCGGCAGTGCTTGGTGCTAATGAGGTGAGCAGCCAGAGCACCCGTCTGCTTATGTTTGCTCATCTCTGTGCAATTATGGCTGTGGGGATTGGAAAAAGGGATTTGTATTGGATGTGGCTCTGTTTTGGCCTTTCCAGAGTGTGGTTCTGTGTTCTCCTGAGGACTGGGCAGCACATTTCAACTTCCATTTTGGGAGTTAGGTGGTTGCTTCATTATATTTAATGCAAGGTCTAAAATACATCCTGGTTGGAAGAAGAGAAGGAAAAAGGGAAGTACAGAGAGGGGAACACCCCCGCCCCCGCCCCTTCTTCTCTTCCCCCTCCCTTCTAATTCCCCCCCAGTTAATTCTAATGCACCTTGAAATGAAATCTATAGCCTGGCAATTGGTGCCTTAATGTAGAGTAGATACAAGTCTGTATTTGTAACGTAGCATCTTTGGAATACAGTAATCAGGTAATGAAATTTGGTTAGATCTCACTAGTTACAGGTGGCTTTTGGTAGGCACAACATGCAAATGCACTGTGATTTCTCAGCTCACTTTTTTTGTTGTTGTGTTTTCTTTTGTTTTGTTTTTTAACCCTTAAGGTGATGATAGCAGTGTGAGCTGAGTATTTTTTGCTGAAGTCATAAAGTTTTGCTTTCAACAGATTAAGGCAGATAAAGTGAATATCAAACCTTGTTTGTCTTTTCCCATCCTCAGATGCCAGACTCTCTCCATCGAGCTTGATGCCTTTCTGTCCAATCCTGTTGTATTCCTATTCCTGCAGCTTGTCTTTCAGTGTTTCTTTTTCAGAGAATTACTATAAAACTATAGGTTATGATTAAGTAATATATTGATCTTGGTGGCAAAGCTGGCTTTCCTTCTAGTTCCTGCCTTTGTCACAGGCTGTTCCCTGTTAGCTGATAAAAGTTTTTTCTGAGTACTTAATTTAATGTAAATCAGATTTTTGAAATGACCTGTTAAAAATACTGCTGGTTTTTTGTGTTTTTTTGAGGCTCGTATCTAGTCTCTGTTACTTTGGCAATATGTTGTGTAACCTGGTACCACAAAGAGAGGGATCAATACAGCTGGGACTGGGAAAGGTATGAACTGCATCCTGTAGGCAAGAGCTAGCAGTGGGAGACAGGAACTTCCTGAGCTGTTGATACAGCTGATGTAAGTGTAGTGTTCAGCTTATACCCATAGAAAGGACAGAGTGTGAACCTATAAACAAATGTCCTTCACCCTGGGAAGGAGCCTAAGACTGTGTGCCCTAATTACATCTGGTTTTTGCTTGGTCCTAGTTTTAAGTGAGTTAAGAGTGACATGAATGAAAGCACAACTGATGAGATGCGTGCTAGGGAGAGTTGTGCTGTTTTAACACTCATTGTTGAAGTCTGGTATCTCTGTGATCACAGATACTGCAGTATTTCTGTGCCTGTTTACCTTTTCCTGGAGACCTTATGACTTAAGACTGGGATATTTTTCTCTCTTCCTTCTTTAGGTCTCCGGGTGAAAGGGGAGCTCATTACTGCTTACCCGCAAGTGGTGGTTGTGCGTGTGCCAACACCTTGGGTCCAGAGTGACAGCGACATCACAGTCCTTCGCCACCTAGAGAAGATGGGCTGCCGATTGATGAATCGCCCTCAAGCCATCCTCAACTGTGTCAACAAGTTCTGGACATTTCAAGAACTTGCTGGCCATGGTGTGCCTCTTCCAGACACTTTTTCATATGGTAAGGCTGTTGGATCAAAAAGGTAGCATAGTTGCCTGGACAACTTAGGCTTTTGCAATGCAAAAGATCCACGTTTTGGAAATCCATAGCAATTTAAGTAGCCAGTTCCACAGCTGGAAGTGTTCAGTAACCAGAAAGGAAGTTAAAGTCATGACACCCAGATTCTGGTTTTGTCTTTGTTATTACCTTTTGATGCTTTGAAAAGAGTACTTGAACTGTACGTCAGCCTTCCAAGCAACTGACTTTGGCTATCAGTGCTACAATACTTTCTGTTCTTTTCCAGTTGCCCAAAACAACAGTCAAGAGCTTGTACATAAGTACTACAGAAAACTAGACTTTGGTACAACCTGAAAGTAGATTAAACTCCTGTATGAATAACAGTGTCTGCAAATACATTAGTTTTTGTGAAAGGACAAGAGTAGCAAAGAGTATGAGCCCTTTTAACAATAGTTTGGGCTTTGTTTCCCATCAAAACAGTTAATTATTGTTTAATGTGCCTGCCTTTGGAATCTCTGGTATCTCTGGTTCCTGACAGAGTGCTAGATTAGAGGAACCATTTGCCTGAGCTACCCTGATGCTATTTCTGGTTTTAATTACAATCTATTAAAGAACTGCAGACACCTCTCAACCTTCTGTTCCTTCTGGGAATACCAGTGCTTTCCTCTGCTTTGTGTGATTGCATCAATAGGCTTTTGTAATGGGAACTTTACAAAATGAGAAAAAAAATTGACATGGCTTTCTCTCAATTACTATGAATTACTGTTTCCATCAGTTACCATGAAAACACATTTGAGAACAAACTTACCCTTTCTTTATACATGTGGTTGCTCTAAATTGTTGAGAAAGGAATGAGTTTTTAATTTTTGGGGGGAAGGGGAGACCATGAATGATACTTAAAAATTGAAGAACATACCTGTTTGATCGTAACTCCCACTTCTGTTAGTGCATGCCTCTGGAATTTGACAGAAGCATGACTTTCTTTTCTTTTTTTCTTTTTTCTTTCTGTTTTATTAAACCACAAGTATCAAGTTATCAGTGAGAGCTGACTTTGCCAAGTAAAACAGGGTGTGCTGAATGATGTGTTACTCCATGACCTGTGTTCAACTCCATGGCAGGGTCTTGATGGCTGCTGCTGGCTTTATGACTTTGTGTCTTGTCTTGATTTCTCCACTTTACTGCACAATGTGTTAGAGGAGGCTTGTCCCTTTGTCTGCTGAATTTACTCTTTATTTCTTTATTTCTTATGGTCAACCTTCTTTAAATTGAACTCAAGTAACCTTGAAGTATCAGCCATAATTGTGTGAATGGCCATTAGAAGCTACTTTCTAAGGTCCGTACAGATGCAACAAGATTAAAAGTTGAAGTACTACTTCAGGATATAGGGAGAATGAGATGCAGGAGACTTAAGCCTTCAGAAGGGAGGAGGTGGACTGACAAGGTCTGGGTTGTTGCTGCTCTGTGGATTATGCCTTGTCATTGTGTTCTGTGTTGCTTTCTTGGTTAATAGTTTGGATGGAACTTTTACTAGTGTTATGTGTCCTATTTTCCTGTTAGACATTTGAAAAGATGGGAGTTGATAAAGTAAAAGGGATAAACTGGAACAAGATGGTAGAATTGGGGCATTCAGATTTGGAAGATTAGATTGAGTCTTTTGGGATTGTGATCAAGAGGCCTTTAACAGCTTGTGTCTTCAATTCCAAAGGAAGTAGGTCTTAGTATCCCACATGTAATAAACACCTTCAAAGTCTGATCATGCTCCATGACCAAGGTCTTCTTAACTGATAATTTTTTCTGCATTATCTAAGCTGTAAGGGTGGGAGGAATGTATGGCAATTACATCCCAAATTTGGCCACAGCAGACTGGTGGCACATAATATTGTTGGTTTTCTTTTTGCCAGGTGGTCATGAGAATTTTTCCAAAATGATTGATGAGGCGGAAGTGCTGGAGTTCCCTATGGTGGTGAAGAACACGCGGGGTCATCGAGGTGGGTGTGAGGTCAGGGGTGAGAGCAAGGAGTATTCTGAGCAGCACTCCAAGATTTTGTTTCATCAAGGAATGATAGCTAAGAAGATCTGTTAGATGTTGGACTTCTTACCAATACATCTAAATTCTACCACCCTTGAATGCTGAATGTTGAATAGAGTGCAGCACTGGGAAACAGTTTTAGTAGAACTCAGTCTTGCAAGGGCAGGATGGAAAGCATTCAAAATTATGGTGCATTGGTGACTTCTATGAGGAAAGCTTTGAACTGGAATAATGGGAGGTCTGGCCTTCATGAAGTTGAAAGAAGTTGGGGGAACTTTTTCAAAGTAATTGAAGAGCACCCATTTGCAAATTATATTTAAAATAAATAGGCAAACATGGTCATTGGTACTGGCTGATGAATAAAAGTCATACTCTTCTAGGCCAATTTTCTGCACAGGTTGCTGTTCCAGCAAATGGGCCAATCCTGGTTTTGCCAAGATGTCATGCTGCTGCATAATTCACAAGAGCTAAGCAGTTCCTCTCCAAGGCATCATTCTTCCTATTCCATTTCAGGAATACAGTAGGATTATTAATTGCCCTTAGATAAAGTTTGGAGTGGGAGAAAGGCCATGGAGGTTTTTTTCTTTTGTGAATTTTAAGCTTACATTCTCATGTCTCTGTCATGAGAAATTCCATGTTCCTCAAGCAGTGTCCTGTGTTATGGAGACTTTAAATCCTATCTAAACAGAGGCTGCTCTAGTTGGGCATAGGAGCACTTGGTGGAATGCTACTGCTGCATTTCTGTTCTCTTACTTAAGGAAGGCAGTTTATCAGTTTATGTTTGTACTCTGTTAACACTGTAGCAGAATTGAATGACAGTTCTGCTACAAGAGAAAGTGTGCAGCTTTATTGCAAAACATAAATCTAGTATGACATAGAGCCCTTAAGGAAGGGGAAAAGAAGTTGGGAAATGTAGATAAAGATGGAAAGGGATGCAGTCTTGTGAGACTGGAAATTGGATAGAAAGTAGTAGAGTCTGTTTTAGGGACGGCTTTAACCAGTATGAATATAACTGGAAAAGAACTAAGAAGTCTGGTGTGCTCTGAAAATGAAAGGGAATGAAATTACTGATTTTAGGTTAAAAAATACAGGTCCTAGAGATGTTTGCTTGCAGAAAAGCTAGTGATTTGTCAAAGAGGTTTTTTTTCAGTTGTAGGATAATCCATTAATTTTATGTTTTGTGGAATCTTCTGGTAAATTATCTTGGATACTGGGGAGTGGAATGTTTTCCTCTGAATGGAGTTCTTCCATTGCAAACTTCATTCTGGACTTGTGAGCCCTTTTGAATATTGGGAAGAGCAGCTCTCAGGAACTTCCTAACAGAGAAGGAAGTGGGTGATTCTGCAGTGGCACACTAGGGACTTCAGAGTTCTTAGATGCCCAGTGTTTAACAGTTTCATGTTGTTGGTTCCCGTGTGTCAAAGCTGTAAGCTGTGGGTCCTGTCCTCTTGGATGAACAGAATTGTTATTAATTACATGTTGGCTGCTCTTTAAGTATTTCTTCCTTTTTTTTCTCTCACTAAGGACTTGTACCAAAGGAAGTTGAAAATGCAAGACCACCTCCTTAATCTAAAGCTTTTTTCTTTTTCCTTGCTTCTTTTTCTTTTTTTTTAAACTCATGTCTCCTCAGCTCTGTCAGTACTTTAACACTTAAAAGCACGGAATCAGTGGAACTCTGTTGTCCATGGAAGAATTGGTAGCGGATAATGTATAACCCACAGATGGGGCCTCTGAGAATGGGCACTGTGCTGGTCAGAGGTTTTACTTTCATGTGCTGAATCATTGATGCAGCTCAGATGGCTAAGTGCTTTCAACATCCCGATGTTCTTTCCTCCATACAGGTAAAGCTGTGTTCCTGGCACGAGACAAGCACCATTTGGCAGACCTAAGCCATTTGATCCGTCACGATGCCCCTTACTTATTTCAAAAATACGTTAAGGAGTCCCATGGCAAGGATGTGCGCGTCATCGTAGTGGGAGGCCGTGTGGTGGGCACCATGCTCCGCTGCTCAACAGATGGGAGGATGCAGAGTAACTGCTCACTTGGTAGGAAAAGCATTGCTCATAGTTTTGATCAGGATATTTCAACCCAGTTGAAAAACCATAAAACTGACTGAAATAAGCTGCAGGTGTTATTTTGTGTTAATTTTGCTTGCTGCTGGGGGTTTAAAGGGGAAACACAAGAATAAGGATTAAGTAAGAAGCATGTTGAGCAAACACAGAAGGAGAGATGATTTTTGCTCAAAGTATTTGGTAGGTGGGATGATGACAAGCAGGGGAAAGTTCTGGAACACAAATGGAGCAACTTGATGTGGTAATGGCAGTTTGATACTAATGTCATATTATCATTTGTTTCATCCTGAGAGGAACAGAAAATGAAGGAAGACAGAAACAACCCTTAAGGGGGGTGGAGGAGTCAGTCAGTTGGCAAGAGAGTAGAAGAAAATGTTAAGTGAGCAAAGTGTTGAAGGCAGTAAGCAATTGGATTGCACTGTGCATCTTCTGTGGTACCTTAAGTCTGTCAGATTCCTCCCTGTTACCTCTTCCCCCAGAGACCATATCTGGGAGAAAGAGGAGGTTACTGCATTGATTGTAGCATACTCAGAACTAAGATTCTGCAGAGTTTTGGGTGTTGGACATGGGGGTTTCTGAGGGTAAAAGGAGGAAGGATGTTTGAGGGTGCCTGGCTGAAACTGTACAGAACCTGAGCAGGGATGGGGCAAAGTGTGTTCATGTGTAGTGCAGTTTTGGTTAGTCAAAATGCCTCAGAGATTTTAGTTACTGCTTCATGCAGAGGAAATATAGCCTGAAATATTTTTCTGAATGTTTGTTTTTTTGGTTTTTTTTCTTATTGTTTGGTTTATTTTTAAATTTAAGTATTGTGATAGATGAAGCTTGAGTCAGTTAATACCTAGGTGATGGACTGTGAACTTGACCAGCTGAAGTTCAGACACAAATGTTCCCTAATTCTTGCTTTGGAGACAGTAACCTGTGATAGCAAGTTGAGAGGGATGTGAGCAGATGATAGTCTTAATCCCCCTTCCCCTCAATTATATCTACAGTTAGAGTTGTAGTCTTAGCAATAGCTCTAGGTTTAATTTTGCTGAAATATTTCTTGTGATCACTTACAAACATGTAAGGAAAACCTCTGTCTTAGAAGGAACAAGGGTGGTTTCTTAGTTCATTTTTTTCATATTCTGGGATCATAAAAATGTGTATTTTTTCCTGACGAAAAAAGTCATCGCTTAACTGTTTTTAAACAAATCATAATCTTGACCTGCCAAAGGCAGGTCAGACTCTTTAAAAATCCTGGTGTGGAATCAAGTTCATTAGTAGTCACAGTGGGAAAGAGGTCACTTTCTGAGTCATCGGCAGTGTGCTTGCAGGCTCACTTTGAAGCTTCTCAACCGAAAAGCACCACCCGATTGAGAAGGATGTCAGTCACCTGTGACCTGTGTGCAGACAGCAAGTTTTTTCACTTTTTCCAGGTGGTGTAGGAATGATGTGCACGCTGAGCGAACAAGGCAAGCAGTTGGCAGTCCAAGTGTCAAACATCCTGGGGATGGATGTGTGCGGCATTGACCTGCTGATGAAGGACGACGGCTCATTCTACGTCTGCGAGGCCAATGCAAATGTAGGTTTCATTGCCTTTGACAAGGCTTGTAATTTAGATGTAGCTGGTATCATAGCGGACTATGCCGCTTCCCTGCTGGCCCCCGGCCGCTTGACGCGGCGCATGTCCTTGCTCTCCGTGGTGTCCACGGCCAGCGAGACTAGCGAGCCAGAGCTGGGCCCTCCAGCTGGGGCCGCTGTCGACAACATGAGTGCTAGCTCCAGCTCTGTCGACAGCGACCCTGAGACCACGGAGAGAGAGTTGCTCACCAAGCTCCCGGGGGCTCTCTTCAACATGAACCAGCTATTAGCCAATGAGATCAAGCTCCTTGTGGAGTGATGCCACATGTAAATAGGTGACCAACAGAACTCTCTCTTGTACATTTTTTTTTTAAACCAACTTGCAATGCTGTTTATCAGAGATGCTGAGAGGAATGAGGAAAGGGGGGTGGGTGTGTCAGTCAAGAGAGCAAAAGTAAAAGTCACACGTGCTGTGATTGCTGTCCCTACTTATTTGCGGAACATTAAATTGTCTTCATTCTTCACCAGTTTTACTGTGGAGATGCTCAGTCCATAACCAAGCAGCAATATTGTTTGGATGCTGCTTTGGTCCCCAGATGTATTGCAGTTCCTGTGTTTTCATGGGCAAGCACTGAAGCGTGATTCACACTTGAAGATTTTCAGAAAGTTGTCTGACAGCTCTCTAGAAAGTTTTGTGAATTACCGCACCAGTTAAGTCTCTTCTACCTCTGTAAGGCTTGATCCTGTAAATTTCTGAGTGCCTCAAATTCTTTATGTGAGTTGAAGGTGTTAAATACCAAGTATTTCAAAATTCCTGGATACCTACTGTTCCTACTCTTGTAGATTGGAGCTGTAAGTTCAGGATCCTTTCAAAGTCATCACTTTCTGACCTTGCAGGATACGGCCTTTCAAATGATGAGGCTGAGAGAAGTGTCAGTTGACTTAATGTGAACTTTCTGTAAAAATCTGTAAATTGTGCCATCTTGGTATTAAGTGGCAGCTTTGTGTCTAAATTTCGTTATAAAGCTTTTAAAGGAGGATGCTTCTGTTTTTCTCATTTCAAATCCTGATTTTGGAAGGTATATAGGGGAATTGGTCATATTCTATTTGTGGGCAGAAGTGGCACGTTTTTAACTATTTTTTGCATGGTTGGAGGAGATAAACAGCACTGTAATGTTTGGTATACAAAATGATGTTTAATCTAATGTGAAAAAGAATTACACTAGTTTAAAGCAAATGTGCATCGACTTGTATTTGTTAGTGTTTTAGTCTTTCTGAGAGAGATCTGCAATGTTAATGTTCCTTTTTCTTTAATACATGCTAGTCCAACACTCCCTTCTCTATGCCTGCATCTTTAACAGTGGCCAAAGTGAAAACACCACAGACTGTTTGTTAAGAAAACACTGAGTTATAGCCTGTACATTGGTGGGGGGGGGGTTGTTGTTTGTTTTCATTTTTTGCTTTTTTTTTTGGAGGGAGGAATGTGGTAAGGTGTGGAGGAGGGAAGAGCTGGTTAAAAGTGATTAGTCATCCAGAGGAACTTTAGAATAAAGCTGCAGTTCATACAATACTTACCAGGCTTACTTTTTCCCCACTGGACATAAAAAAACCAATGCTGGCATAAATCCAAAGAGTATAACTGGGGAGAAATATTCAGTTCTTAGTTTTGGAAAACATGTGGCAGATTTGAAAAAAAAAAAAAAAAAAAAAAAAAAAAAAAAAGAAGGAAAAAGGAGAGAAAAAAAAAGAGAGCTCAGCCAGAGGAGAGAAAAAAAGAGCTCAGCCAGAGTTAAAAAAAGAAAAATAACCTAGGTCCACAAACAATTAAGGGATTAATCCTGGACCCTTATGTATGTGTGGTGTGAGTGCACACACTTGTGTGTGTTTGTGTGTGCACAATTGTTTTGCTTTATTTTTTTGAGGATGTAGGCTGTTTAGCTCCTAATTTTTTTCCAGACTTCCTGATTTTCCTTAATCCTTCTGGCTGTGCATTTTATCATTAGCCTTGAGCTGGTTTGGAAAACAGATAACCAAAACAGATACTGAGTCCATTTTTCAGTCCCTGTCTTCCTCCTCCTTTTCCTCTTCCTTCTCCCTTTTCATTCCCCTCTTGTTCTCGGGGTTCATAAAGCCCTGGAACTATATATATATATAAATATATATATAAAGATAAGCCTCTTTTTTAAAAACAAAAAGTAAAGCGTTTACAATTGAAAAATCATCTTGTGAAAACAGGTTTGTTTGGAGGGGGGTTGTGTGTGTGCAATGCTGCTGTTTTCTGGATACTTTAATGGAGCATGTCCCATGTACCCTCTGAGGTTCTGCACTGCCCACCTCTGTGGCCCTTCCTCACCTCTCTGCTGCTCTGCTGTTTTACCTTCACTTGGACCTTAAACACAACTCACGGACACTATGCAGAGAGTCTTCAAGAGGCAATAAACAGAACAGTATTAACCTACTTTATGGAGGTTTGATCATGCTTCTTTGTACAGTTTGGTTTTTTTATTTTAAAAGGAATGTAATAAAATGGCTTTTTTTTTTTTGTAGAATTAAATATTATTATTAAAATCAAGTGAAAGGTTGACTGTTGGTGTTAAGCAGGAGGGTGGACCAACTGGTCCAGCAAAAAAAGGATCTTCAGCAGTAAAGGTATTTTCAAATCCTTACTGAGCCTTCAAGTGCACAGGTTATACCTGAAGAATATAAAGGTCTTCAAATTCCATGAAGAGTTACAGAACGACAGAACATGAAGTAATCTAATTCTCTAGTTACTGAGCAGTAAACTGTCTCTTCCAAGAGCTCTACTTCCCTTGCTTGTTTATCCGAGAGGAATTTGGGGTGGAGGGTGGCTCTTTATTTTTTTTTCTTATTCTTTCTTTTTTTTTTCTTTTTTTGGTGTGTGTTTTTTGTTTTGTTTTGTTTTTCTTTTTTTTGCCTCTTCCTTTTTACTGGTAGGTGCCTGCACTCCTTGAGAGGCTGATAGGATCAACCCTTCCCTTTCTAGCTGTGACATACATTGAGCACGTGTGGAATAACAGCAGGGAGTAAACATGTGCTAGTTGGTGTACTGGGGCCTTTGTGTTTCTATCACAGGAAACATCTTTCAGAGGAAAGAGCTGTTAACTGAATATTCTGGATTGTTTTTTTGAGTCTCCATAGTATCTTGTAGCTCACAGGAACCTTGCATTTCTAGCACCCTTTCAGAATGTCTAGGTTACACCTCACAGTTGTAAAATTTGTGAAGTAAACATAAGATTTTAAGAAGACCAAGCGGGTTGAGAGATTTGCAGTTTGACTCCCTTCTGATAAGTTGCTTCTCTGGTTGGTGCTTCCATTACTAGTTTGGAGATAAGTCCATAGTGGTCACAGAGGGAGACAGGATTTAAAATATCATATACATGTGTTTGGACATTGGGTATCGATGCTATGTGAAAACCTTGCTCGAGGGTTCATTTATACAAATGGGCACACTTATCTCATGTATTCACTCCCTACTTACCCTGTGCTCCTGAAAGAGTGAAGCACAAAGAATGGCCTGGGGATGCAAGGGGGGGGTCTCTTGTTTTTACTTAAAGGAAAAAACACCAACAAAACTAGCCCGTGGTAACCAGGCAGTTTTTCCCATTGAAGGTGAACTCCACAGATGTCAGCTTTATACACATTATTTTCTTCAGTTCCATGTGCTGAAAATCACATGCTAAACTTCCATACAGTTGCACAAACACTACCTCCATCTGTGGGTTTGGAAGCATGTGCTGAAAAAATGGTCAGCATAGTGGTGGATTACAGTAGTGCCAATACAGCTGATGGTGATACTATTTTTGTATATTTTAGTGTTTGAAAGAGCCAGTTAGAAACTCTTGTTTGCAAGAATAAGTTTCTTAGCTACATCTGATGAAATTTTGTTCTTTTTTTTTTGTAACACTGGAGATTTTCTTCTGTTCAACTTACTGTGTTTGTAATTGATGTCATGCTGTCGATGTATGGATTGTATCTTAATCCTTGTATTTAATGCTTTAATGTGTTTTATAAAATCTTTTTTTGTAATGTTACAACACCTTATCTGTAAAACAGTGTCAATGCTTGATGTTTACATTGACTGCTACATTTTTTGTTCTGAGCTGATGGTCAATATCGACGCCTTTCTCCCACTTCATGTGCTATCTTTGCCGTGTGGTATTTGCTCAGGAAATAACCTCTGGAACAACTGGGTATGTCAGACGCAAAGGAGATACTTCTTCAGATGTTATACCAGACTACAAAATCCAACAAATGAAACCAGTGACGCTTGCTAAATTCTCTCATTGCAAAAATCTGTCTGTTAATTACATAAGGGACCATAAGGGCTTAGAGAGACTTTGAAAACAGATTGTACAGTATCTTTCTCATGGCTCACTCTTTTTGAGAAGGTTTATGGGCTTTATGGCTGGTGTGAGACACACGACCCACTCCTGTTCTCTCTATGGAATAGTAGGTGCTCGGACAGGTAACTTCTGTTGCTACTGTCTTTTTTAATTTTAATTTTTTCACTGTTCTAGGAATTGTTTTAAACTGAATACTTACAGGATTTATAACCAGGTGTTTGCTGCCTTTTCCTTTGTTTTATTTCTTTACATCTTTCTTAACCTTTGAGGGTGACTTTTGGAGCATTCTGATGGTGGATCTGCTGTTGGAAGTCTCCAGGCCTCTCATGTTTCTAATTTGAGTTGAAAAGCTTTTGTTTTGTTTATTTGTTTAAAACAATGACACAAATTAGCTGCACGGATTTCGGGTGGGATTTGTTGTTGCACTGTTTTGGGTAACTTATTCTCCCTTTTTCTACAGAAATGTGTTCTAACAGTTCACACTTTGTTACTGTTCTTTGCAAAACTTTTCAGGAGCCAAAAAAGTCAAACAATCCAGAGAAAACCCCTTCTCCCCTTTCCGATGGCAAGAGTGAGAACTTATGAAAGTCCTTGCGAATGTTCCTTCCTAAACTTTTCCCCCCAGTAATGCAAGCTGGTAAAATGGTAAACGCAGCAGTTTGGTGACATCCAAAACCGACCTGTTGTCAGGTAAATTGACACTTTTCTGCTCTTACTCTAACCTTCATAAGTTTGCTAACTTGTCTGCCTTCCTTTCTTCCCATCAGTTCATTTTGGTGATACTTGTTGAATGATTTCTTTAACAGGATTTAGAGAAAACCCTGCTTTACTTCCTTATTTCCCCTCCTTATACTTGTTGACTTTTAAGAAAACTGTCATTGTGACTTGCTTTACTCAGGTGAGAAAAGAGTGAGTCCCTCATGCAACTGTATGAGGGATAGTTTTGTAATACATTAATTCCACCTCCTCTTCATCAGTTCTAGATAGTTTGTCTCCAAGTGTACTATTTTAGCTTAGATTTTTGAAAGATGCATTGCTTTCTGTTTGCTAAGCGAACATAAAATATAACTGCAGAAGTAAGTAGTTGATAGGAACAAAAAACTAGTACTAAGAATGTTAATTCTATTAAAATTCAATAGAACAGGATCCTGTAAAGAGGACAGATGGACGAATATGTGTGTTGCGGAAAAAGACTTGAGCTGATGTGGAGGATGGGGTGACACATTTTATCTTGCCCTTACTGCTGTATCAAAGCACTTGTATATTTTGTCCTTCTCTGGTAGCTCTCTCCCTTAATCTCAAACAATGTAAAAGTACTGGGTATTTAATATTTTTTACTTAATTTAAGGGGGAGAATCTTGTATTTTGCTCAGAAGTAAAATATCAGACAATTGGAATACCATTCCAAGTTGAAGAATGTTAGCCTACAGATAGGCTTCCAAGTTTCCTGATGCAGTATTATATTTCTGATGACATCTGTAAAGAATTAGCACTTGTTTCAGATTATTTTTCTGTGTACATTAATTACTCCTCCATACCATCATAAAATAGTCTATTTTTCGTAGTCTCAGTTTATATTTTCCTGAAAGAAAGCAAACTTACCAGCAATATAATAAATTGCAGCTTCAAATTAAGGTGGGAGGGAATAATTTTAGAGCCAAATTTTGCTCTCAATTACACTGAGATAAACCTGGAATCACTCTGTGGAAGTCAGTGGAGTGATACCCGATTTCACTGGTATAATTGAGTGTATAATTTGTGTCTTTAATTTTACTTGCAAGGTAATTTTACAAACCTGTTATACTTATGTTTCCAATGCTTTTTCCTTTCAGACACACCCACTTCTTGCGTCTCAGCATTGGGCAGGCCTATTCCTTTATTTGTGTATATTTTTGTGCATCAGCTGCTATAGGACACGGGTGTAACACTTTCAGGCATGTGGTTGGGTGTCTTTTTGGGGTTTGTAATAATGTCTAAAAATAAGAATTTCTTTTCCTCAGATTTATTAGTTAATTCATGTTGGATCACAGTTTTGCATCTCTAACCTGATTTTAGATACATACTATGTGAAGATTTTTTTGAAAGAAATACAGTACTAGTTCTTTGCAGAGTCTGCAATTGATCTTTGGTGGGGAGAGTTGACCAAAATGTACTGCATTCTGCAATAGTTGAAGTTTTAATATTTAACGTAGCTTGAAAGGTGGTTTTACAGATCATGCTCCTTCCTCTTTATGGAATGGCTTTCAAAGCCTTGTATTGATCTTGGTTGTGCCCAGTGCTTTGCCTAGTGTATGGGGAAATGTAGAACTTGAATAGGCCATGACTTCTTAGACAAGGGATGATGATTATGTGCATGCTGAACAAGAACTTCTTCTATATGCCCTTCTGCTGCAACAGAATAATAAAACTGGTAGGTGGCAGCAGCAGCAGCAGCAGCAGCAGAAGACACTCATGACTGTGACCTGAAAAACCTCCAGTACTGGGAGAAATGGATTGCAAAATACTAACTGGAGTAAGGGGAATGGAGAAGAGAGGCAGAGTCCCTGAACTGTCCCTTTGAATGGTGAGTCTGATTTACAGAATTCTGACCATCAAAAGACTGCCTGTAATACAAGAGGCACATTGATCTATCTCAGTTTTTGGTTACCTGGTGTCATAATTCTCATCTTTGATTCAACATTCCAGTTTCCCCTCTGCCTTTATAAGGCACAGTACTTGTTACAAAAAAATAAATTTTGCCAAAATTGCCACATATTTAGAGTACTGGCAAATAAGGCTGAAAGGAATTTGTCTAGCCCAGTCATTCTCTGCTCCACAGAAGACTGATCATATTTGTGCCATTGGTGTTTATTGTTTATTGTAACCTAGTTTAAAAACCAAGGAATACCTGAGGAAGATTTAGCAATCCTATGGAATTTTTTTTATGAAGGTGAAAAACATCCCTGCTGTCAGCCAATGATCAGCCTCATAGGTTGAGAGCCCAACTGCTTCTTTTTGCTACTTAAGAGCAACATATATATATATTTATATACACACACACACACACACACACACACACACACACACATATATATATGCCTTAGAAATGCCTTGATCATAAAGAACAGTGTTTTTTATGGAGATTTCCTAAATCTCAAGGTAGCAAAAAAAGGTTTGGATCACCAACAGTTAAAATTCTTTTTGGAAGTGGGAAATACAAATTATATAATGTTTCTGAATTAGTGGTTAAGAGTTGGTAGGTTCAGCCACCTCTTTAGTTCTGAATGGCTCTAAAACTTCTTTGATTGTATATTCCTATCATAAAAAACATTTTTGAGCGTACACCCAATAAATTGTTTTTACAAGTTATATATGTGTATTACTAAATACATTGTAAAACTTACTTAAAACTGAGAAGTTAAAAAAGGATGAGCTAAAGATTAAATGAAGACTATTTTTTAAACATTTACTTGACTGTAGTTATTAATGGTGAAAAAAACATTTTCACCCTGCAGCCTTACAGATTGTCTTGCAAAGCTCCCTGGGGAGCACGGGCTCCTCTTTGGAGACCACTGTTGTAGACACCATAAATACTTATTGTTGCAGATGTCACCAGGATCTTCCACTGTAACAAAACCTCCACGCTAAGTAATTCTCCTACTAGAGATTAAAATGCTGACTCTCTAGTAGGATGACTGCGCCTTCTTAACAGAAAATAAGAGGAGAGAACAACACCGGAAGCACTGACAAACTGCTTGACATAGGAGAAGTTTGAATCTGTATCAGCTGAAAATATAGAGAAACATGTCTAAGTGGATTGGGAAAAAGGAATTGTATCAGAATATTTACTAATACGCAGAATACAGCAGTAGCTTTTGTATTTTCATAAATGTTTCTACTTCATTTACAGCTAAGTATTAGTTGATAAATTCCAAATTCTGTTTTCTCTTGCTGCCTGGGGTAGTCACACTAAAATCAGGAACAACACTTACATACAAGAACTAAGCTGGATCTGAATTTTGATATCCAGGCAACTAAATAGTCTCCAGTACACATCAGGTACCACTTAGGACTGTGGTCAACTGGTGTTCTTATCTCATTAGTTTCTTAGTTATCATTCAGCCTTTGAAAGAATTCTGTGGACCGTAGGCTGGAAATCCCAGAACTGAGTTTTTACAGAGTGAAACGAGATTGCATGTGCAAAGTGGAAAATACTTTGGATAGAGAATTGATTAGAATCTGGTTAAATATAATAAGGAGCGAAGTCTGTATGTGAGATGAAGCTTGTAGAGAAAGGGTTTTAAATCCAGTCAGGCTGGAGATGTGATGGAGAGAAATAGTTCCTTGTAGTAGAGGCAATGGAGTCTGAAGCCTATGTCAGTCTGTCACCAGAGATAGAAGTGAGGCCTGAAATCAGCTTTTGCTCATCTTGAGCATTTCCAGCTGTTGCTGTAAGGATGAATCTCACCAGACTTTCTGTACATAACACATGCTAGGCATACTGGCCTTTGGGAACTGGATCTTGGGGAGATGAGCTGAAAGTTCCATTGATGCACAAACTAATTGTAGCACCTGCCTACTTGAATGGGTGGTCATATGGATTAAAAGCATTACTACAGTGAGTTTACATGACAGCAACATTTGGGAAGAAGGGTGTTCCTCTGGCCCTGGACATGGACTTGTTTGACTCAATACTCCTGTAACTGCTGCTTCTCAGCATAGTAGGAGATAGAGGCACATAAATGTATGTGAACTTTTTTTAATGAGCAGAAAGCAAGATGACTCAGTCACCTGGTCAGGAAAGAATTTTTTTTGTTTTTTTGGTTATAAACAGGAAGGCATTTAGAACACTTTCAGATCCTCTGCGGTTCTCCATGTAGCTGTCAGTACAAAAGAATTTTGGTTTTGTTTGTTTTCTTTTAGATGTGACATAGCAAAGCATCCTGTTTTCTGCAGCTTTGATGTGGTAGAGATTTGAAGAAGACAGATTATTTTTCATTTTTGTCATAGACTTTCATAGGCAGGCAAGGAGTGATATTTGTGAAAGGAGGGAGTGGATGCAGACTGAATAGTAGGTGATGAATTAGACTGATAAAAAAGTTAACATTCACATTGCACCCATGCAAGGTGTTTTCAAGGTATTTCTGCATCCTTTGTTCGCTTTAGAAACAGTACAAGTGTTACTAGAATATACAGAGTCTGCATAGTAATATGTCAGTGTATTAAGCTCTGCAAAGTCTGTGCATGAGTGGCTTATAAAAGATTTATGTGAATTTCTGCATGTCTGCTTTTTTATTTGGAGGCAGATTGCTGTATGCAGCTATGTACAGTGTTCTGTCTTAGGGTAATAGATATTTTTTGCTTATTTGGAAGGAGGGAAGTGTGTTTGGGCAGCTAAATATATAATACTGTTATCCATTTCTATAGGAAACAGAACATCTAAGAAAAAGTATTTTTGTGTTAAAAAAATTACAATATAATTGAGGTTTTTAATACAGGAATGAAAAAGAAATGTTACATTAGAGGTCATTGGAATTTTTTTCAATAATGTGTTCTAATAGCAAGAAACTAATTTCACAGAATCACAGTATCAGTTAGGTTGGAACAGACGACTGAGGCCATCAAGTCCCAGCCTTTGAACAAACACCATCTTGTCAGGTAGACCATGGCACTAAGTGCCACATCCAGTCTTTTCAGACACTTCCAGGAATGATTACTCCACTGCTTCACTGGTTCCAATGCTTGACAACCCTTCTCTGATCAAATTCCTCCTCATGTCCAACGTGAACCTCATTCACTGCTGTAATATACAAAATTAAATAAAAAAATAATTAATTTATCACATTTGTACATTTCCAGGCTATGTGCTAATTTACAGAATTTGTTAGGGCAATCCCTCTTGTACACATTAGCATTTGTAGTTAGAGAGGGAGGGAAGATCCATATTATATAAGCCAGTAACCCAGTGGTTGCTAACTCTTTGTCCAGTCATGCATTTCTTCTATACAGATTTCCTGGAAACAGTGACACTGCTGAGCTTCCTTGATGCTTAGTTTATCTTTGTTGCAAAATAGTTACATTTTGGGGAGAGAGGAACTGAGTTTCCTCTCCTGGCTGCTACCGTGTGAAGCACTGCCTGGTCTTAATTCTCTGTGTTCTTTCTGTTCAGTGGTATTGTGCATTAAGCCTGAAACTTGCATTTTGTGAGTTTTAGGAGGAAACTTGGTGTGCTTGTGTATATATTTCTCCATGCATCTAACAAACACAAGGTGACAGAAACAACACAAATGCTACTGTTACCCTGCCCACCGACCTTTGCATTGTATGGGAGGGGTAGTGCAGTTGTAATGTGGTGTAGGAATGCTTGTCCGTGCCTAGGTAGAAATGGTTGTTTACTGGATGGCAAATGCTGAAGCTTTCTCAGTGGGAGAACTGGGCAGGAAAAGTCTGGAGTTTGACTTTGCTAAACTTTTACACAATTTTTCCTCCACATGAAATATTTCCACAGGAATCTAATGCTTGTGAAAGATGCTGGATCACCAGGTGCAGAGATTGAACTCTACCCACTGGAAAGGTAACAGGAACTAGATTTTATCTTCAGAACACAACCTTCACTGCATCTTACTCCTTGACCTGGAAAGGCCTTTTCCAAGGTCAGAAGAGGAGTTTGGTACCCATGGCTTAGTCCTTTGTGTGTCTGTGACGCAGCTATCAGGGAGGCCAGATAGGTGCTGGATACAGAGATTTTTTTTATGATGTCTGCTTGCATTTCTGATGTTCATATTTTGGACCAAAGACTAACTTCTTCAATGATTTATTTCTTTAGGTTTTTCTACAGCGACAGGAGGTCTTCCCTTGCATCTCATGGGAACATTTAGCGTTTTGATAATGCCTCCTTCACAATGAAGGGAAGAAAGGATGGATCAGCAGGGATGTGCAATGGAGTGATGTCCACACATGGCATTAACGGTCATGATCCCTGTCCTCACTTGGAGAATTGAATAAAAGAGTTGAATTGTAATTCATGAGAGTGTGAGATTCTTTTTGGTACTTTTTGCACCATCTCCCATTTCTTGAAGGATTTAACTTCAGAAATTTGTTGATACTGTATCAAAGCTGCAGCTAAGCCAGAAGAGCAAAACCTATTGGATATTCCTCACTTTATTAACCTTTTCTTTAACTCCAGGAATTTCATTCCTAAGAGTTCTAAATGCTTTATATTTACATGAATAATTTTCCCAAATGCCTTAGAAACTTTAGCCTTTGGTTTTATAAGTCATGTTCCGAGTTCAACTAAGTCACTGAGGATACAAGTGTCTCCTGAATTGTAAAAGTGAAGTCACCATACTGATCAAGCTATACTTCATGGTCACTTTGGTGACTGCTAGAGAAAAAGAGAAGCAACTTGGTTAACCTACCAGAGATAATATATGCCTTTAGATTTTGAAGCTGTAGTGTCAGGGCTTGTTACAGACATGGGCATACACATTCATACTATCTATAGTTTCTGAATACAGCTAATCTCTAAAATCCATGGGTCATAGATCTTGCACATGGCTCTCTTGGTTTGTTGTTAGTGAAGCACTGTAAAGAATTAGATGCATACTGATGGCATTTCCATAATGTGCATACTTGAAATTTATACAAAATTTACAAAAGTGGAGCAAAAAAAGGGGGGAAGCAAGATGCTGAGTTGGTACCTTACCAGTAAACACCTCTTATCCTTGACATTCTTCCTGTTCGTTTCATGGATATTCATTTCATGTAAATTTTAATTCCTGTTTTCTGTGTGCTTGTTCTAGTAATTTACATGTGAATGTAACTCAGGAATGTGGCTGGTAGCCTGTTTGCAGCTACGCCTTTGCTTCAGTAGCTGCAGTTTATGGTTGGCTTTTTTGCAAATCTGTGTCACATTGTTCCTCTGGCATCTCTGAGCACGTGGAATGGCTGCTCCCACACAGTAGGCCATTTCATCTCTTGTGGTTCAGTGCTGATGCTTCCTTAAGTGCTTTCCTGCCTTAATGTTTCATGTTTAAAAAGTAGAACAGCTGAGAACTTTCTAAATTCCTTCTTAGTTTCATATGTCTAAGTTGCTTCCAGGCCCTGTCTGTATTTCAGTTCTCTTATTTTTTTGTGAGTGTTCCGCAGTGTTCTCTGTTCTGCATCCTCAAGTTTTCTCCTCCTGCCTTGAGAGTCTTTTTTTATTTCTTTCTTTTTTCCTCTGGTCTTTTTTCTGCTCTTAACTGCTCCCATATATTCTTATCCTTGTCCCTAGCACACACACATACAGTAGCCTAAGAATATTTCTTACTCAGTGTCTATCACAGATAACCATTCTTTGTTTTACTCTAAAAGTGTGCTTTCCTTTTTTCAGAGTGAGAAATGCTCTGTTACTACACATTTCCTTTTGGTATTTCACAGCCCTAAAGGTGTTAGAAGTAAAATAGAAATTAGAAGAAGTTCATCACTGTGTAATGTCTTAATAGTAAGTGAGAGTTAGCAAATTGCAATACTGAGGAGATAGTTCCTGGCTTTTGCACTCATTTATGTATCTTCATTGAGAGGGATTGGTCCTGCAGTCCATCTCTTCATATACCTCACTTAAAAGCTCAAATTCAAGAGCTGTGGTCAAGAATCTGTTGGTGTCATGTAAGGTTTTGCTTTCCTTTGTTTTTCCTATCTTCCTTTGAATTTAAATACTGGGTATCAACAATTAAGTAGTAATTGGATTTTCATGATACGATATTTTGATATGACTTGTACAGTATAGTGAAAACACAGTAATTATAGTTCTGTAGTGATAATACTGACCTGTACTGTGATGATCAAGTTATAAACAGTTCCTTTTGCATGTCTGCATTAGCTATTAATTGGAATTGTGCTGTTGTGCCAGCTACAGAAATGGAGTACTTGGAAAACTCTGCTTTGCTTAGTGTGATGAGATCTTGGGGTGGGGTATATTTGTATTGAGGCCAGACTTGGAGAGAGGTTGTAATTTTGTTTACCATTAGATCTGGAAAACCTCTATAACTTGTCTGGCCTATATTCCCAGTTGTGCATGATGTAAACAGACAGCTATGTCTTGACCACTGTCTTCTTTTATTTTTCTGGATAATTTTCCTTATATTTTGCCTTATCACCGTGGTTGCTTCTCCAATCCACTCTTTCTCTAGACAGTCTAGACAACTTGGTTTACAGTGTGCATTTATCTCTAGGTGCTCTGCAAAATCTAGGTTTGGAATCAGACATTGCATCATCATCTCTGTGACTCTCTCATCCCATGTTGTCATCACTTCAGTATTTTTCCAGATGCAGTGCTTTGGAGGCTGCTCTGCTGCAGTGGTAATGTTGAGAAGGGAGAACATGCAGTGCAACAAGCAGGGTGGAATTCTTGGGATAGAGGCTGCCACTGTGTGCTTCTTTCCCCTGCACTGACCCCGTTAGTTTAGCTGGTGGTGTACAAGCCAGTCTGATAAGCACAGGCTGACAAGTTCACCCCTACACTACTTCCTGGCTTGGGCACTTCAACCTAGACATGGGCCAGTCAGGGAGATTGGTGATCACCAGGTCACTGCTGCTGGGCTCTTCTGTGCCTTGCACGTGCCTGGTGTTGAGATTTGGGCAAGCTCCTTGGGCTCCTGAATGTTTTCTCTGATCTGCTTTGGATCTACTATCCCAGTTGGTGGAAGGGAGTTGAGTAAGTTGTCCAAAATCATGTTAAACACGTTAGGAAGTTTCTGTCAGAGAGGGGTACACCTCCATATTTTTCTCAGCGTTTTAATAAAATGAATTATTTGTATTTTTTATAACAACACTTCTGAAGATTTCTAATGAAGGCAAAAGTCTTCTGGTTCTGCTCATCTTTTCCTTCCTAGAGAGCATATATAGCAGCTGCCAGAGCTGTCTCTAGGAAAGAACTTGCTGCTTCCTACAGCCCTCAAGATTCAGGAGAAAAATATAAGGATATAGTGATATTCTTCTAAGGGAAAAGACTGGAATGCTGCTCTCTAGCATTCCTGGTAACCATCGATGTTCAGCAGCTTAGCAGTAACAACAGTCGTCTCTAACTATGAAATAGGAAGCAGGGAAGGAGGGGACAGTGTCCCTTACAGTTGCGTTGTCACTAATGGACCAGAAGTCACATTTCTGTGGAGATGAAGCAGGGTGAAGAAATAGGGCTTTTGGAAAAATAAAAAACAAGCTCCACAGTTTTCTAGTCCCTTCTTTCCAGACTTGTGGAGAGTGCTGTGTCACAGGGAGGATCTTCCTACTCTTGCTTGTAACATCCCTTTGCACAGCTTTCTGTGGGCCTATATGCAAGGTAAGACTCTGAGGGAAGAAGTACTCTCAAAATAATTCAAAGTGCTCTCTGCAGCCTGAATACTTTTGTGGCTTGGATTGGGGATCTCTTGTCTTAGCCCAGTCGCAGTAACAGCTCATGTATTTTGAAAACAGCTGAATTTGTGAGCAGTGAATGGAAATGAAGAATTGCAGCCCAGTTATGAGACTTCACTCTGGAACAAGCAATCCCTGAAACAGGAGAGGAGGCCCAGTAGAGGGAAGGAAAGAAAGAAAGTGTTTTCAGTATCTAAATTTCCAGATTTAGTTAGGGGTGTGTGTGTAATTTTCTGCTATAACACTGCTGGTTCTGATACCATCAGTTGTCATGTGGAGTCACTTCGGGTGGGAGATGTTAAAGGAGTACAGCCTTTGTTAGATGCAGGCGACTGGTGTAGAAGTGAAAGGATAAGAGGCGTTCCTGTTCCTCCCATTACTCTACTGAGATAGCTTTTTTTATTGTGATTTGTTAGGAGGCTTTTTTTGCTTTAATTTCCAAGGTTGACAGTTTTTAACTGTTGCAGATTTCTCTCCTGCAACCAATTTAAGGTCTTGAGACTGGCCATTGTTTAACAGATACCTGTGTATATGTTATCTTGCCTGAAAGGATGGGGTTGGGGCACAGAATTGCATTTTTCTGTTCAGTTTTGTGGGCTGTGGTTAATGTCCCTTTGTGCAAGGCAGTTTTGCATCACTGGTGTGGAGCCCCTGCTGGTTTTTACACCACCTGAGTCAGCTGTGTTTCCTTGGAAGTTTAGTTGCTCATTGAGATGAAGCTGGCATTGAGCATGTATTACTATAGACTGTACCAAAGATGAGCCTACTCTGGAAGGTAAATAGCCAAAGAAGATGACAAAGGTGACAGAACACAGGAAAAGAGCATGTCAGTAGCTACAAGTTGTAACTCATCTGTGGAACAGTGACAGCTCCCCATTATACCGTAGAGTCCATTGGATGGAAAGATGAAAAACGATCAAGATTCTGTTTGTTGGCCGACATGGCTGGCCACTCTTCTGTGCATGCATCCTGTTTTACACCTTCCTATAGGGAATTGCTTCCAGAGTCACACCACATTTGCAGGTAGAAATGTTTGTTCTTGAGCAACTGTGCACTGACAGGAAGGGCAGCAGGGACCCACCTGCTCAGGCTTAGGTGCAGTTTTCTTTGTCACAAGGGGAGCACTTGTAACATGCAGCTGGAGATGCCAGCAACAAAAGCAAGGATGCAGCAAGGAATTTAGCATTGAGGACACTGTGCAGACCCGTTTTCAAACATGTTTTTAAGGCATCCAAGTGTTGCAAAATTACTAGTCATAGCCATCAACTTTTGATTAAATTTCCGTCTCTTTCCTTTAGCCCACATGATTGGTGTTTAATGTCACTGCATTCAGCGTCCCTTGGAGCAGAACACACTGTGGTGCATTGTTTTGTTGGTGTAGAGTTAACATAATGTGTTGCTTTGGTTGCCCAGAGGAGTTCAGCATCTTTTAATTACATGTTTTTGGAAGTGTCCTTTAACAGATGTAACCCTTAGGAGCTGGAACAGTGAGTGAGAAGCAAGCTGGTTCGGAGGGATTTGGAAGCAGCTGTTGTGAGCCCAGAATAGTGAA